ACCAAGCTAGCGAGGGTCAAACGATAACATGGCTTCATATCAGTCCATGAAATCCATAACAGTTAGCTTAAGTTGGTCACTTAGAGAGGTGTAGACTTTCTGGTTGGTGTCCTCGGGATTTTTAAAAATCAGAGACTGGAGACAAAGGATGACATGCTTCAAAATCGTTTTCAGTGGCACAGGGGTATTCACTCTTTGAGATTTATACTATTCAATAAAATCACATTGTTCTTTCACATATCTATTCTTTTTGTCTCATATCTCTTTTTACTGTCTCTTTTGTATTTTGCATTTCTTTTATTACTTTCTACAAGATGCATACATCATTCAGAGTATTGATTTATTTTCAAGGATGTATAAGCCTACCGCGTTTCTCCAGTCGCTGTATACAATGAAGGGTATACAATTACGACATATGATAATAATTACAATCTTTTTTGTCATGAATGCTTTATTAAGAGTTAGGGAGTTGTAAAAAAATACTGTTGTTGCCTGGATCGCCATGGAGTACTGGACAGCTGGTGTTTCATCAGCCTAGTTTGGGACTCATTAGCAGAACGCATTTATCACAGGGGGATCGGACCCAGGTTCTTCCAGTTATAAGGCAAGCTAGTGGACGATTCAGCCACTGGAACTCGCCTCAGTGTCCAGATCATGAATTCTAGCTTCTACTAGTTTGTGAGCTTGCCTTTTGTGTGTAAGCGAAAGGTTTTGGCCTGGAAACCCAGTGGGTGAATACTTTCGATGAGTTAGTACCCAAGGTAGGCTGATGAAACAGCCACTATCCAGTACTCTGTGGTGGTTTCCAGTGGTTCTTTGACTAAAAACAATCCATTGAAATCCTTATAAACAAACTGATGAAAATATTGTTTTGTTTTTATAATAGTTTGCTTTCCAACTTTTAACTTCCTAATATACTGTTTTACCTATAGACCTATAGAATAAATCACCACACATTTTAATAATTCATTGTGTAATGCATATCAATTTGATTATTTGCACAGACAGTTGCCAGTCAGTCAACAAGGCGTATCTTCACTGATTCTTGAAGAAACTCACCTGTCTTCTGAGATTTGAACCCTTCCCTTTCTCCCGTGTAGTCATCCAGTGCTTGCAGTCACAGACGTTATCACTGAGTTATTTTACCTGACCACTGATCGCCTGTAGGACCGATTGTACTGGACACTTTGATTGGACATTAGTTAGTAACTAGTGTAATGTATCTATTCCTTTGTTTGGGGGCAGATCGCGGATGCACCGGTGAGTGCCGATTAGCACGAAACCTTGGTCAAGCAAGGTTACCTGTAGTCGATTGTCGCCAACCATCTGGTATCAACAATACACAATGCACCGAGATGGTGAGACACCTATTTTGTTGTTGGTGGCCACACTGCAAACTGTACTGATAGAATTCAGTGTTCAGTAAACATAGAACGAGACACATGACACTAGTTACCAACTGGTGTCCAGTCAAAACATTTTTGTATGTTTACACTTAAAGTATTCCTTAGTGGCATAATTTCTCGGTTTTTTTTACTAGGCGATTGTTTTATGCTACTTACAAGTAGTCAAGCGCAGCTTTCGAAAATTATACCGCTAAGGATACTAAGTTTGTCTCATCGTATAGGGAATTCACGAGGACGATCAAAAGGTTTTTTTCATTTGAGGTTTGGCTGTTATTTAGTAATTGGGAGGTCAAGAAAGCGCTTGAATTCCAAACAGTTTTTTAATTAGAGCTTAGCATAAGATGACAGTCGGGAATGAATTCATTTAGCCTCTGCTGCAGAAGGCCTATTCTGGTATCGTCAAATTGCGCTCAAAAACTTCGTTGGAGAATTTATAGTGCCCCTTTCAGAAACGTTGTAAACATGAATTTGAAAATTGTACTCTACATTCATAACTCTTCATTTGTTTTCATCAAAAAGTGGGTGGATTCCAGGTATTATGATTTATGACATGTAGTTAGTTAGTTAGTCAGTTGGTTCGTGAAGTTCTCACAGCGTTTACCGTATTCAAGTAGTCTGTCTTTCGTATTTTTACTAAGTGTCAGGTATTTCCCGTCAATGTTTAGTAAAATATTCGTTGGATTATTGAATTGATCCTTGTTATTTTTTAATCCATGGAAAATTCCCATTGTAACATATAGAAAATCAAAACAAGTGATTCAGTGAGGAGACCCTTTACAACAACGAATTTATTATAAATCTTTACAATCGTGTATACATGGTTTTTAAGAAATCATATCCAGTGAACTAGGGAATTGAAACATAGGTGTGAATGCATAAAATAATAATAATAGTAATAGTAGGAAGTGCAATTAAACTATTTGTGATTATAATCATAGTTAAATATCGAAAGTCAAGTGACTAACCAATTAATTTTCAGGAGAATTTCATCATAAAGTGATATCGGTTGGAGAACAATTAGAAAACCTGCAAGGAATACTGAACAGCTGCTTCATACTAGTTTAGGGCTCTTCAATAGTATACACCCATACTACGGGTTTCGAACCCAGGACTTTCTGGTTACAAGACGAGCCACTGGAAACCGATTCAATGGCCAGCCCATGGATTCTAACGTCTGCCAATTCACGAAACAACTGTCCAGTAGTCCCTGCAGGTTTTCCAATGGTGGTTCACTAACTGATGTCAGCTCATGATGAATTCATGTAACCAACCAAACAAAATCCCTACAAAAACCAATACTTGAAAATAATTAACGTCATATATGGAACAAATAATAAGATGGGTAGATGTTGAAAGCAAATGCATAGTTATGGGATCCAGCAGTTGACCAACTCTGTGTGCCTTTATCAATTCACCTACCTGTTTGGAGCTAGGTATATTGGTTGTTTGATTCAGCTTTTTTTTTCTAAGATGGCGCAAGAATACCATCCAGTATGGTTACGAAGAGGTGGAAGTGCAGCTATAAGAAGCGTAGTCATTGAGCACCTGGTCAACATTGATCACTCTATCTCTCTACAGCCTCAGCTTTTAAAATCATCTCACCAAGGCTAATCATTACGCATCTGACTCATCTCCTGCATTCCTGAAGCTTTGGCTATCGAAACCGAGAGAATCCAGATGCCTATACACAGAAAAATTTCGTTCAACCCCTCCAACATTTATGATCTCAATCCATCTATACTAAAGTATGAAAATCCCCATTCCTAGTTTGGATCTACTTATTTTTCGTTTTTCTTACTGAATTTGCATACTCTTCCCTTATTGCTATGCCTATTCCTTTACGTTCCCAGTGGAACATAGGTGGCTTCAAGCTAGAGGCTTGAAGTTTCTGTAGCAATGGTTTTTTTACTTTATTTATGGGATGGGGTTGCTAGCTTCATGGCCAATCTTCCCTCTTTACCAGCTTTTATTACTGTCTTAGCAAGGTGAAGGAGTGTGTTGGTGGCCGGGGATCAAACTCCTCCGGACCATGTGCATGGTCGGTGAGCGCCCTAACTGCTATGCCACCGACGCTATGCCGATTGTAGCTGTTATTATTCTCACTCTGAACTGTCCTCCGTATTATTTTACTCATCCCAATTGTCATACTAAGTCGAATATGTTTTGCAACGTTAGATTCTATGCTATCCAATTTCACACAGTGTTACGTAACATTTTTATTTTATTCGATTTGCCTACTAATTTTATAATCTTGCGCTTCGCTCCAACATCTATACACCCTATGGATTGTGATATATATATATATGCACATTGCATACTACTATTATTATTATATTATGCATTTACACCTTTGTTTAAATTTCCTCACGAGATATAATTTCTTAATATAAAAATCTGTATACACACAATTGCATAGGCCGACAACAAATTCCCCATCACACAGTGAAACAGTATACTTACACACTGGATGACAATGTCTCGAACAAAATTTATCATTGATCATAATCGTTTCATCAATTATAATCACACGACTTCGAAACTTGAGTTTTATGGTTTTCTTTGCTCTCTCCTATCTGTCGTCGTTTGGGTAGCAGAAGTTTCCAGATATCCCACTGGAAAGGTGTTGAATCATTCATATTACAAGTGTTTGAAGTTTATTCGATAAACTAAGCCCCGGTTAATGATTATTTGCATGTCAAACACGCGCAAGAAATTGACAACACCAACAATAAGGAATCTAAATCACCAGTAGTACTTCCATACAAGGAAGGAACCTTGGAAACCTTACGCATAATTCTTAACAAAGCGGGCAGGAATAAAAGTGGGTGGGATTCAGAACACCCATAAACTCAATTAGAAACAGGCTTTGTCGATTAAAGGATCAGTCCTGTATAGCCGTTAAAACAAAACAGTTTAGTTTATCTAATACCCTGATGGAACGATTGTCAGGTCAAATACATCGGCCAAAGTATTAGAATAGGTGCAGTTAGTCAGACTAGCCTAACATAAAAACCTAGCAGCAAAATCTAGATTGGTTAGCCTGAATAAGATAAGAAATCTAGAGAATAGATCAGCCATAGATAGCGCTGTATGCAATTACGCACACACAACCATATAATAGGAGGACGGGATATGATGACAGATTTTAAAATCTAATTTCACAGGGTGGAGGGAGAGATCGATGACAGTGGACGCTTTTTTATCAAATCAACCGCAAATACATGTAATAGGAATGATTCAACACCTGTCCCTGATATCTGGAAAATTCTACTACCCCAGCGATGACAGATAGTAGAGAACAAAGAAGTCTGTAAAACTCAAGATTCGAAGTCGTGTGATTATAACTGAAATGATTATGAAGAACAAATTTTGTTCGAAACGTCATCCAACAAATAATACTGTTTCACTGTGTGATTTATCTAATAAACAAACTAATATGGAATTCTGTCTCATGTGAATCCAACTTTTGTTGCTAAATTTAAATGTTTTTCGTGATTACTCGTTTTTATTTAAGTAGTATGTTTCACTTTATATGTATTTATTCAAAAGTTTACCATATAATCATATAATATTTTGTTTATCATCATAATTTAGGCATACCAACCTCACGATGTCAGTCTATTCCCTCCTATAATGATCCACTTCGACTACCAAATTTTATGGCTGAACAACTACAAACCCAGTCAAGTCAATCAGAGATGAGTAGTAATGAAGATAGTTTATGTACAAAAAGAATTGGTGATGATCTGGATGAGGATGGTGATGATGATCATGATCCGTTTTTAGACGATCAAGTGGATCCAGATATTTTAGCCTCAGCATTAGCTGATATAGACGATCATAAACCTGTGAAAGATCCGATAGTTCAACAGCCAATAGTAAATGTTGTGAAATCGTTCCATTCTGCGATAAAAGTATCCCCAACACCACTGCCAACTGTAGCTACCGCTTCTTCTTCTTTTTCGTCGTCGTCGTCGTCATCTTTATCCTTAACGGCAAACAGCTTCACATCCAATCAACCTTTAAAAGTACAGTCAGAATCAAAACAAACTTTGAAACAAACACTTTTAAATTTATACACACGTAATGAAGTATTGACAAAAAGGGGGGATATGGATGCCCCTTCTTCCTTCTCTTCCTCTTCCTCTTCTTTGCCTAAAATCCAATTGGCCAAACCTTCACCAGTGGAATCTGCAAAATTAGCAATTATAAAACCTAATACTGATATTGATGATAGCGAAGATCTTTTGCCTCCAGCGCCTAAACGTAAGCCAATTGAATTGAAACAAAACACTTCCTCGGTTAATGTTGTTAGTGCTAGTAAAAGTAATTTGAAAGATATCATCCTACGGCCAACTGTTTCTTCATCTGGTTTGTCAACGATGTTAAAGACAGATGAAGAAAAATGGAAAACACTTTCTAGTAAAAATAATAATGATAACAACAACAAAAGCAGTAATGATGTTAGTTATAAAACTCAAACAGCTATTTGTCAGCCTATCACAATTTCATCACAAACTGATTATCGATTTCAACCATTTTGTTACATTCAAGTAAGTTGTTGTCACCTCGATCACTCACCATCCCCCGTTTTTTTCTCACCTTTATTTTTACGTTTTTTACTGACTTTTATCTTCGAAAATATCATAGAATTTTTCATATTGAACTTTTGATGTAGATATCAATTTTTTGAAATTTATAGAAAAGGTTTTATATATATATATATGAAGGAAGCAACCTTCTTCACCTATCTGGGAAGCATCGTTTCAACTACAGGCTGACGGAACTCATGAGGATATCAAAGCAAGGATCGAGAAAGCAAGGCAAGCTTTCATTACTCTGAAGTCTGTGTGGAGGTGAACAGCATTGAAGCATGGCAATGGATAAATAACATCCGGATTTTCAACTCCATTGTGAAGTCAGTCAGTGCTACTCATCATACGAATCAGAGGCTTGGCGTCAGGCCGCGTCACGAAGGGCCACGTCGAATAAATCACACACACCTTCATCAACAGCTAGCTGTCTCCGCTCAGTACTTCTCTCAAGATCAGATGGTCGGTCAGAAACGATCAGCAATATTGAAGGATCTCTGGGTGCGAAAAAAAACCCAGCAGGAACTGATTGGGTAACAAATTGTGTACAAGAAGAAATAGAGGTGGATTGGCTGGCCATACTCTGAGAAAACAAACCATCATCAAGTGAGTGACATCACCCTCAATGCAGGCCATCACTCGAGTGGAACCCGAATGGGAAGTGTCGAGTTGGTTGTCAGTGTGAGGGTGGCATGAAGGAGGCAGTGATGTGAATAGGAGATGAGAGCATGTTAGCAGATGTGTAGCCAGGAGAAAAGGTTGGCGGAGAACCGAAAGCAATGAATCATCAACTGAGGGTGCCCACAGTTCTCAAAACATCAGTCTTCTTACGATTATAACTCACGGATGATGTTAATAGTGAATTTTTATCACAACGTTCGGGAAGGACCTTCAAAATGACTTTCAATGCAGCAAAGTTAATCTGTATATTCACTTTCTAATCAATACTTGATTCAGGAAATAAAAACAAACTGTCCCTGTTCACCTCTTCCTTGTGTATTTACTAGTTTAACTGCTCGTGTGGAGCTAGTTACGTTTGGCGTACGATGAGGCAAGTCCATCGTCGAATTTCTGAACACCTTCCATCTTGGTTTTGCAGACGTCCGAATAAAGCTGCTCAATACTAGCTCATCTTGTCGATATGACTAGAAATCAAGTAGGCTCTAACAAAACTTTTATAGTTATTTATATCGTATAACACCCAGCCTCCCGCATGGTCTACGTGTACGTCTTTTACATACGTGCAACAGAGGCAATCGGAATTCATCTGAACCAGCCAAATCTATGTGTTCAGAGGAAATTTTTACAGCCCCTTACTTTGCCCCATGGCCAACTACATAATAGGTATTAAGTTTTTAAAAACGATATTTTTCCCCTCCCCTTGTAACACTGTCTTTTGACTGCGTTAATTTTTACAATTCTAGCCAATTCGATTAACTTGTTTTATTTTACGTAATTCTTCTGGGTTATTGTATTCCTCGCCTAGTCATCATGGCTATTTTTCAAATTTCTTGATTATGCAACAATTTGTTGCTAACGCGTGAAAATTGACTTATCTTGAATTCCGTAATTAAATAATTAATTTTCACCCTTCTCTCTCCTTCAAAATTCAGATATCCTGTCACTAACATGTATTAGTTAATTGGTGTTTTGTTGACCTTTAGCCTAAAACTGATTAACATAAAATAACCACTTAATTGATGAATACAATTATGATGTAAAAAAAAACGAACACTGTATATTATCGTAGAGCCTGTCAGCCGATGCTGAGGAATTAATTGTAAAGGAATGCATATTTCTTCGCTCAGCCTGTTGTTGTTTTCTCGCTAACTGCGTAATCTTTTTTTTTATTCCTTCGCGTTCCCAGTGGAACATAGGGCTTCAAGCCAGAAGCTTGAAGTTTCTGAAGCAGTGTTTATTTTTACAGGATTGGGTTGCCAGCCTCATGCCCAACCTTTTCCTCTTTGCCAAGTTATTTCTGGCTTAGCGAGGTAAAGGAGTGCGTCTGTGGCCGGGGATCGAACCCCGGGCCATATGCATGGTCGGCGAGCGTCGTAACAGCCGTACCACCGACACATTACTGCGTAATTAAGAATTCGAAAATTACTTTTGTAATTTATGAACATCAAACTTCAAGACCTTCTAGGTAGAAGACGAGCTCGTAGACCATTCACAGTTACTAGGACTGCAAGATAGATATAATAAACGAAAACTAATCACTGAGGGATACTCAAGAAAGACAGTAACTGAACCCCTAGTTTTGGGCTTAGCATTGATATTCATGTCGCAGTGTAATACAAAACTTTGGAAGTGAGCTAATCGTGTAACATTAAATCATAGTTATTACAAGGTATTTTGTAGATTTTATTATTTTATCTATTTGAGTAAACCGACAAGGTTATCTAACCTACAGAGCTTGTCCTATCTGAGTGAATTTGTAGGTTTAAATGCTACTCTAATTCCTGATTTATTAAGAATCTTCCATAAGGGAAATACTACTGTAACAACAGAAGACAAGGGCCAGGCAACAGATCATTTTATTATGAAAATCAACACGTATTTATATATTTTTTACATACATTATTATAGCTTATGCAAGTAGAAAAGCGCAGTCATCTGATTGGTTGCAGACAAACGCAGGCTTCTGTTTGGTTGTTTCGGGATTCCTTGACAAATAGAGTTCTCTATCTGCGAATCATATTTTGCCACGTTAACTTTGCTGTGATTGGTTGTTGAATCAGCCTTGTTCATATTTTCTCACGGCCCATATTAGTGACCTAGACATTAACGTAGATTAGTGTCAACCAATCGGTTAGCAGCCTGCTCTCACCACACTACTACCAATCAAATCAAGAGATGAAAAGCATAATGGAATTACATAAATGAAGTCAGAATGTCGTGTGTGAGAAGTTCTTCGGTATGATTATGAGCAGTATATAAATTGTGCTCGAGATGTGGTCATCAGTGAATATTATTTACTGTATAACACTGTGAGGATATATACAAATAAAATTCCCTTCACAATGCAATTATACTCAATCACCACAGAGTGAAGAATAAACTGGACCACCGGTAAGAAGACTCTAGAAGATCTGTATTTCACGTGTGGATGATATAATGCCCAATGTTACACAAACTCGAAAACATACAGGCGAAAACCAACAAACTCGCAGACGTGGCAGGCAGCGAAGACACGACTCTAGGTGAACATAGAGAGGATAATAAACCAACCAACCAACCAACAGCAACAACAACTAACACCAAACACCATCAACGGGAGAGACTTAACAGAGGTGACCTCTTTCACTTATCCTGCCACGAGAGCATCGTTTCAACTACAGGCATACGGCACGTATGAAGAGGTGAAGGCCAACCAACCAGAATAGGAAAGGCAAGATACGCTTTCATCAACCTGAAACCAGTTTGGAAATCTTTTACACTCAATATAAGAAACAAGATTGGCATTTTCAACACCAGTGTCAAGCCAGTCAATCCTTCTATACTGGTCAGAATTTTGGACAGTGTTTCACCAGAAGGATTTTCAACAGCTTATTACAGACTTTTGTCAACAGATGCCCACTTCGCTGGCTCCATACTGAAAATTAAATGGTGGGTCAGAAAGAATTAGTAACAAGAAACTCTGACTGGAGAACAAACCAACCAAGAGCTGATCGCTCAACAAATATGATTAAGAGAAAATGGAGCTGGATCAGGCATATATACTGAGGAGAACGTCGAATGACATCCCACGCCAGACTGTAGTTCTAGTGGAATCTAATTGGGAAGTGATGAGTGGTTTGTCGATACGAAGGTGAAATGAAGAAGATACTGTGAGGAAGAGATGAGAGATCAACCGTTGGTCAACCGTCGACCCAGCTGAAGAGGATAGCAGAAGATAGGACAATGTGGAGATGTGTTGTTGAAGCCATGTGTTCCACCTTGAACCCTAAGGAACAATGATAATAATAATAATAATACTAACACAACCGTGCTTAAATTGTATTCTATATACCAAGATACATAGTAATTGTTGAACTGAACATTTGTAAAATAAAATAAACATTCTTATTTTCTTTGAGTAAACAAGTTTTAGGTGTTCCACACACACACACACACAAGAGTCATGTATATAAAGGGTTTTGCCTTTTTGTTGACCCCTAGTCATGTTCTCTTTGTTTTATTATTAAGTATGGCTAATGTGTACTGGTGAAATAGAACGCCTTTTTCGTCATTGAATAACGTGTTATCCACAGATGTTTATTAAAAACAAACAAATAAACAGCAGTTATATTAGAATTTCACATGTAATTAAAAATAATACTGCACTTCTGTTGTGTTATTTTTTTAAAAAAATATTATTTTTTGTCAGGGAAAACCTTTAGAATTAAATGAAAAAAAAATAATAATACTAAGTTATTATCCTAGAGTTGGTTTGTAAGGATTAGTCTTGTGTTTACGAGTTTGACCACGGATTGATATCAGTTAGAGAATCATTGAAAACCAGCCACAGTGAGTACTGGACAGCTGGCTGTTTCATCAGCTTAGTTTGGGAATCTTAGACAGGAACTTCCGGTTACAAGGCACACTGGCTTGTAATACTGTAACAACAGAAGACAAGGGCCAGGCAACAGATCGTTTTATTACGAAAATCAACACGTATTTATATATATTTTCTATACATTATTATACCTTGTGCAAGTAGACAAACACAGGCTTCTTATTGGTTGTTTCGGGATTCCTCGAAAAATAGAGTTCTCTATCTGCGAATCATATTTTGCCACGTTAAGTCTGCTGTGATTGATTGTTGAATCAACCTTGTACATATTTTCTCACGGCCTGATCTCACCACATTACCATTCAGCGGTCACTGGGCCCCAATTCAGTGGCAAAACATATCCTTACAAATCAACTATAGAATTTTAACCCTCATGCCCTCTAGTGAGTGACTGGCTACAGGATGGAGTTTCCTGCAGTGAGTTCTAGTTAGAAGTCGTGATCAGTGAGGAGGTTTATGCTGTCACGTGTGACGATGGATGGATGTCCCATCGAAAACATTGGTATGGGTCGCGCTAAATGCATCACGAGTTGGTAGAAGTTAGAATTCATAGGTTGACCATTAGATCGGATCCCAGTGGCTGATGAATGGTCTATAAGCTTGCCTTGTAACCAGAAGGTCCTGGGTTCGAAACTCCCTGTGGGGTGTGGGTGCGTACTCTTGTGGAAGAGTCCCAAACTAAGACGAAATGTCTGTCCACTACTTCAGTGTTGGTTTTCCAATGGTTCTCTAACCAATGTTAGCTCATGATGAAATCCTGCAACCAAAAGGGATTATTATTATTATTTTTCTAATGTGTACATGTATCTTTATATTTGTTAAATGATTGAATCATTTCTATTTTCTAAATTTTAGGATATGTATCATGATCTATTACAAAATAATGTGAATAATGGAAATTTGAACAGAATATCTTCTGTATATAGAATTCGTGGTTTATTAATAAGTTTACTGTCATCATTAGAACATCATCATGGTACTAAATGGACATTAGCTGTACGCATTACAGATGGCAGTGCAATTGTTGACTTAGATGTATCATCTGAATTATTAACTGAATGGATTGGTTTATCACCACAAGAAAGTGAATCACTGAGACAAATGAGTCGTTTAGATCCAAATTCTTCTAGTTCATTTACTGTTCAAGAGGTTAGTTAAGTCATTTAGTCATTCATTCATTCATTCATAATATAAACATTGACATCTTTAAATTGATTTTAATGCATGTGTTTAGTCGGAGTCCCTTCCTCGATATAGGATGGAGGTGGAAAAGAGTTTTAGCGTAAAAAAAGTGAAATATTCATAGATAATCCCCATCCATGCATTAATGAAGTGTGCGTCGGTGGCACAGTGGTTAGGACTCTCTCCAACCTTGCACATGGTCCGAGGTTGGATCCCCCTACCGACGCACACCCCGATATCTATGGTCGGCCTGCAAAATTTAGGCTACCGATATCCATACTGAAAATTCCGTACTTGTTGCGAAAATACAGTGTGGAATCAAGCTGTAATCAAAAATAAAAAAATAAATAAAATAAAACAAAACACGTAGATCAGCGAAGAGTCTCTTTTCGGCTAATTCATTTTCTTAGCTGTACAATTGCATACATGTATATATATACACGTTATTTTGTATGTATGTGTTCATTAAGTTTGTCGAACAAAATTACAATTGGTTATGGTTATTTTAACTAAACAGGTGAAGATTGGTAATTGGAGTTACGTAATACAAAATCAGTCAATAAAATTAGGTGTTAATGAAATTAGGGTAGTAACAAAGGTGATGAGTTGTCACAAATAGTTGTTAAAAAAGAAGTTATGTAATAATAATATGAATAGTTTGGTGAGCGAGTTTTACTCAGGATGTGCACATAGAAACAAAGTAGATAATATGAAATTATGTAAGAGATCTAAGTAAATACAATAATTACAAGCAATTAAAGAACAGACAGACAAAGAAACAAAATTAGGTCATCAAAATAAAAAAAAAAGTTGTTACGGTAGAAGTGGTTGAGTAATCCCCTTTGCATGCATAGCTCCGGTTTTTCTATGTGAATAAACAGAGCTTCAGCGATACAAAGAAGACAAAACCGTATTGTCTCTGATAGGTTATTCTTGACTCTGTAGATTACTTTGAAGCGGGAGGCATTGGTTGAAATGGAATGATCAGTGTTAACCCCAGGTGTTCAATTATCTCACTCCTTATTGCACCACTATCGCCTTTTCGCAACCATGCTGGATAATGTTCTTGAATCCTAGAATCTTGGAAAACTGAAATACAGCAGTAAACCATAGAGTTTTTGACTATTGGTCTGAACCACGTTAGAGGAATTAGACTAACTGACTGGTATTTTCAAGACACTAAAATATCGTTCCCAGTGATGTAGATTCGTTCATTTCTATACAATCTTCCAGATCTTGGTTAGTTCTCATGTAACTATTGCTTCTGAACAACAGTTCCGTTTACTATAGTTTTTTTTCCTTTACGTTCCCAGTGGAACATAGCGGCCTTCAAACTAGACGCTTGAAGTTTTTACTAGCAGTAGTGTTAATTTTTACGGGGTGGGGTTGCTAGCCAGCTTCATGCTCAACACCTTCCCTCGTTACCTGTCTTGATACCGGCTTAGTGAGGTGAAGGAGTGCGTCTGTGGCCGGGGATTGAACCTCGAGCCACTTGTGTGATTGTGCCACCGACGCACACAGTTCCGTTTTTCAATTCTAGTTACTCGCTTATCTGAATCGCCTGTCTAGGAATATGCAGATTGTCTTTTCTTTTAATCGATGATATAATCGAGATCGAAGACTGGGGACTGGAGGTGGTGTAACGGCTGAACAGAACAGGACTTGGTAACGGAATGTTTATTTGGAATTAGGTATCCTTAAATTGGGGATTTATGTACACCTTATCTGAAAATCCTCATTTGTACAGATCTTCAGTGTGGGGCTACTTCGCTCCACACCACTCCACCCCACCCCGTCGTATTGCATATCTTTGTCTTCTTTTCGTGTCTCCTGTGTTTTCCCTGCAATACCGGTTCATTTAACGTCAAATCTATCTCTCCTCTGTTTGATGTTTCCATGCTAATGAACATTTCTATATAATTCTGATGAATGTTATCAGTAGTACATGTCACAGTGGTAATATCGGTTAGCAGCAACTGAAATAATGCAGCCATATGCATAGTTTATTTTTGCTTTAACACTTATCTCGCATTTTTTCATTTTTTCTTTGTTTGTCGGATAACTATTTGCAATTATGGAATATTCCCATTATTAATATAATTAGAACAAGACATATAAGAGAACAACACTGTTGTTTTCAATTAGATCTTCTTCAGGTTTTATTTTAACCTACATAGATTTATATGCAAAATTTTTAACCAATGACGGTGATTTTCTGGATCAAATAATAACAATAATAATAATAATGTGTTAAATGTTTTGAACGTAGTTAATAACGATGATTATAATGATAACAAAATAATATTGATGATAAGGTTTATGCAGGCGGCGATCAGAATAACGAAGGTAGTGAGTGATATGTGTATATGTAGACAATCCAATAAATAAATAAATAAGTTAGGCCAAATCTTGAAAGTTACGCAATACTAAAGGTGGGTGAAGTGGACACACAGGTGATCAGAGTTTAAATAAATATCATAGAAGTACGAAAGAGATGGAAGATAAGAAAGGGTGGTAGGGTTTTGATTAGAATTTACCCAGACAAGTAAGGGAGAGATAAAGGTAGAACAAACTTCTTTTGTTGCGTGCAAAAACTAGGCTCGTTCTCTCGAATTCCCATAGCTTCAGCTGTGCGTAAAAGAATTCCGATCGAAAAGTTCGATGGAATGCGGTAGATAACTTTGAAGGCACTATTTTTGTCTACTTGGTGGCTGCATTCCATCGAGTCTTTCGAAAGGGATTCTTCTACGCACAGCTGAAGCTATGGGAATTCGAGAGAACGAGCCTAGTTTTTGCACGCAACAAAAGAAGTTTGTTCTACCTTTATCTCTCCCTTACTTGTCTGGGTAAATTCTAATCAAAACCCTACCACCCTTTCTTATCTTCCATCTCTTTCGTACTTCTATGATATTTATTTAAACTCTGATCACCTGTGTGTCCACTTCACCCACCTTTAGTATTGCGTAACTTTCAAGATTTGGCCTAACTTATTTATTTATTTATTGGATTGTCTACATATACACATATCACTCACTACCTTCGTTATTCTGATCGCCGCCTGCATAAACCTTATCATCAATATTATTTTGTTATCATTATAATCATCGTTATTAACTACGTTCAAAACATTTAACACATTATTATTATTATTGTTATTATTTGATCCAGAAAATCACCGTCATTGGTTAAAAATTTTGCATATAAATCTATGTAGGTTAAAATAAAACCTGAAGAAGATCTAATTGAAAACAACAGTGTTGTTCTCTTATATGTCCTGTTCTAATTATTGGACCATCAATGGAACTTATTATTTAATGAATTCGTTGCGTTCCCTTTGTATTCGTGCAATTAGGGAGTATCACATTTCTAAGCGGAATACAAATTTGAATAAAAATAAAAATAATAACGCAATTGCTCACGAGCTGAAGTCATTTAAACAACCATTGGAAAATTAGGTAGTACAAAGCAGCTGTTTATTATCCTTGTTCTGTCTGTCTGGATTCAACATAGAACTTGGCACCCAAGTGCACCAGTTCGAGTTGCCACGTTCCAATTGGCACACAAGGTAGACAAGAAGATGAGTGAAGAGAATCAATAGAGTTTGACAAATATAAGAGTGAAACAGAATGGGTAATTGTAGAAAGGAATATGAAAGATTACAGAGACTGAATACATCTGCGCCATTGAGAACGATTTTGAGCCATGTCACCTACTGTCTCCAGCCATTGATTCCTAGAGTCCCGAGGGCCCCAACCCGGGAGTCTGCATCTCCCTACCTGACTCAGTTTAACTGTCAAGGATTTCATGGATTGATGAGGCCATGTTTTTGTTTGGCCACCACTGACTCTTTTCCAACCTGAACCTATATCAGCTAGCAAAGCCCGTCGGGGGAGGCGGTGGTTAGGTTGTTAGATTGCCACTTGATTGCAGTCGATATGACTGTGTTGGTCCAGGGGTGTTGGTTTGCAAAGATTTGATTGATTTCAGGTTTGCAAACGACTGAAAACGAGGAAGTAATGAACACTTGTTTCTTCCTAGCTTGGAAATCTTCAACAGTACTCACCAGTGGTGTCTATCAGGGACGCCCACTGTCCGCATTTCTATTCAATTTCATTATAGATATACTAGTAGACTTAGCCCTAACTGACTTCAGTGATTCAGAGATTGACTTGTTACCACCAGGGAATAATAATCTCGTTGACTTAGAATATGCGGATGATATAGTCCGCCCTCATAGGTAAAGACGCTGACAAAATGCAGAGTTTTTCGAACACCTTGAGCTGCAATCTGCAAATGTTTGGCTTTTGATTCACTCCTATCAGTCAAATGTAAGATGATGCTACAGGACTGGATCACACTGACTCCTAGTTTAGAAATAGGGAGTGAAGTGGTAGAGCACGTTGACCGCTTTACTTATTTGGGAAGTTACATCAGCCAGCCCAGCTTGTTGATCCCTGACCGAATCTCAGCATGGATACAGAAGGCCTGTTGGACATTTGGCGTAGTAGACATGATATCCGGCTGGTTGTCGATCAAAGGACGTGTGTACTGCCCAGCAGCAGTTCGTTCCGTCCACCTTTATGACTCTCTGTGAGTGAGGTATGGGCAATGTAGAGTGGGAGATATGAAGAGGCCGACTGGCTGTCTTTCATCATATGTTTCTTCGTTCTCTCTCTCCCGTGTTAGACTGTAAGTGTAATAGTGTGGTTAATATTGAAGTTGGATGTCGAGTGCTAGATGTAAGGAGGGAAAACGGGTCGATGTAGAATGTCAGCTGACTGAAATGGGATGGATTAGGTTGATAAAAAGAGCTAATCGTGGTCAAACCAAAACGTGACTTCATCAGTCAGTGAAATGCATAACCATTAGTTTAAGACAGCCAGTCAGCCAGCCAGCCACGTAGTGAGGTGTAAAGTGGCTTCCTAGTTGGGGTCTTCGGGATGGTAGGAACCAATAGCTGCTAGTGA